ACCAGAGGGCGCCAGGTAGCCTTGTCAACCACCCCTCGGGCCTGACGGTGCTGCTGCTCAATGCCAGGTTGGTCAATAATAAATCTTCCCTCATCTATGACTTGATTGTGGATGAAGAGGCCGACCTGGCTTGCATAACGGAGACCTGGGCGGGAGAGGGAACGGATGTTGCCCTCTCCCAATTGTGCCCGCCCGGGTATCTGGTTCAACACTGTTCACACCCAGAAGGGAGGGGAGGGGGAGTTGCATTGGTTTACCGAGCCTCCATCTCTCTCACGGGTCTTCCGGTCCCTTCAAGACCAGGCTGGAGTGCCTCTACTTGGTGTTGGGCGAACGAGACAGACTGGGGATTCTACTGGTGTACCGTGCATCCTTCTGCCCAGCAGTCTCCCTATCTGAGCTGACAGAGACCGTCACGGACCTGGTGTTGAGGACCCCCAGGACTTCAATTTCCATGCCGAGTCTGGACTGACTGGGGCGGCTCAGGACTTCATGGCCTCTATGACGGCCATGGGTCTGTCTCAACACGTCATCGGCCCGACCCATGAACGTGGAAACACTCTGGACCTGGTTTTCTCGACGGGGCAGGAAGAGGATGACCTGACGGTAAGGAACTTATGTTTGACTCCCCTCTCATGGTCAGATCACCTCCTGGTGAGGTTTGTGCTCGAGAGCGGCCTCTCCCTCTATAAGAGTGCGGACCCGATTGTATGGGCCCGCCCCCGGAGACGGATGGATCCGGATGGATTCCTGAAGGCCCTGGGGGAGTTTCCGGCAGACAAGACTGGTGCTCCTGTCGAGGCTCTGGTCGAACTGTGGGAATGGAGAGATGACCAGGGCTGTGGACACGATCACTCCAAAGCGTCCTCTCCCACCGGGCAGAGTCCGCTCTTCCCTTTGGTATACACCTGAATTGCGGGTGATGAAGCGGGTTGGGAGACGGCTAGAGCGTAGGTGGAGGAAATCACAGGATGAATCTGACCGAACACACTTGAGAGCCCACTATCGGGCCTATGCTGTGGCGGTGAAGGCGGCAAAAAAAAAGTTTTTTTCCGCTTCCATTGCCTCCTCACAATGCCGTCCAGCGGAGCTTTTTCGAGTGGCACAAGGCCTGGTTCACCCGGGTCCTAAGGAAGATCCGATGCCACCCTCAAAGGCCCGCTGTGACGACTTTGCCAGGCATTTCAGGGAGAAAATCGCTCAGATTCGTCATGAGCTGGACTCCACTAATGAATCAGAGGTCTCTGGGGAGACGCCAATGCTACCGTCTGGTCCAAAATTATTGGACGAATTTCAATTATTGCGGCCCGATGATGTGGACAAGGTGCTTGGACGAGTACGTCCCACCACTTGCCTATTGGACCCTTGCCCGTCTTGGTTAATAAATAACTCCAAGCACGGGATTGGGACCTGGATCTTGGAAGTGGTTAATGCTTCTCTGAGGGAGGGTCGAGTGCCTGCCCCTTTAAAGGAGGCGGTAATACGACCGGTCCTGAAGAAAGCGTCACTGGATCCAGAGATGCCCACTAACTATAGACCTGTGGCCAACATCCCGTTTCTGGGCAAGGTGTTGGAGCGAGTGGTGGCAGGACAACTCCAAACACTCTTGGATGAAAATGATTATCTGGATCCTTTTCAGTCCGTGTTCAGACCTGGGTACAGTACTGAATCTGCCTTGGTCGCCCTGTACGATGACCTGTGCAGGGAGAAGGACAGGGGGAGTGCATCTCTGTTGGTTCTTCTGGACCTCTCAGCGGCTTTTGATACCATCGACCATGGTATCCTTCTGGACAGGCTAGCAGGATTGGGGGTTGGAGGCACTACTTTGCAGTGGTTCCGCTCCTATCTCAACGGTCGATTCCAGAAGGTTGTGCTGGGGGACCATGTCTCTGCGCCATGGCAGCTATGCCATGGAGTACCACAGGGCTCCATTCTATCCCCTCTGCTATTTAACATCTATATGAAACCGCTGGGAGAGGTCATCAGGAGGTGTGGGCTGCGGAATCATCAATATGCTGACGATACCCAGCTCTACCTCTCGTTTTCTACCAATCCAGGTGAGGCAGTGGCTGTCTGAACCGGTGCTCGGCCGAGGTAATGGAATGGATGAGGGCCAATAAACTGAAACTCAATCCAGACAAGGCGGACGTCCTGTTGGTTGGCGGATCGGGTTTCGGAGAGGGTGGATTTGACCTGGTCCTGAATGGTGCAACACTCCCTCTTAGGGACAAGGTCCGCAGCTTAGGAGTACTCCTCGACCCGGAGCTTTCTTTGGAAGCTCAGGTGACAGCGGTGGCGAGGAGCGCCTTCCTTCAGCTTTGGCTGATTAATCAGCTGCGCCCCTACCTGGAATACAACTGCCTGGCGACGGTGACACATGAGCTGGTGACTTCCCGCCTAGACTTCTGTAACGCGCTTTACGTGGGGCTTCCCCTGAAGACGGTCCGAACACTTCAATTGGTGCAAAATAGAGCTGCCAGGTTGCTGACGGGGACGCGGCGTTATGCTCACATCACTCCAGTCCTCCGTCTGCTTCACTCGCTTCCCATTGAAGCCTGGGCCCAATTCAAGGTGTTGATTATGACCTATAAAGTCCTAAACGGCTTGGGTCCTGGCTACCTGAACGAGCGCTTATGTCCGTATATGCCCGACCGCCCTTTGAGATCTGCGGGAGAGTCCCTTCTCCAGGAACCCTCCATGAAAGAAATTAGGAGAGTAAGTACTCGGAGGAGGGCTTTCTCTGCGGTGGTGCCCAACCTATGGAATTCACTCCCCAAAGAGGTCCGCCTGGCACCGTCGTTACTGGTTTTTCGGCGCCAGGTAAAGACGTTTTTATTTAAACATCATTTTAATTGTTAAAATATATGATCTGGCCAGGGCAACTTCTTCTTCCTTCTCTTTTCTCCTCCTATACTATTTATTTACTTATTTTATACTGTTATTTTTAATTTTATATTATTATGTTTGAAACTCAGTGTATTTTTTGTATTTTTGTATTTAATGGTAATTTATTATGTTCTATTGTATTTCAATGTATTGTATTTCAATGTATTTTATTGTGTTGTAAGCCGCCCCGAGGCTTCGGCAAGGGGCGGCATAGAAATGTAATAATAATAATAATAATAATAATAATAATAATAATAATAATAATAATAATTGTCTGCTTTGTCATAGCTGTTTTTGTCAGTGATGAACATATCCTTGTACTTTTTATATTTTACAAACATGCCATAAAAATTAGAGCATGCCTTTCTAAAGTACAACATAGAAACTGTCTTACTCTATAAAATAACGTTTGTTTACCAAAAAGTTACATTCAGAATAAATTCAGCATAAGGCTGTTTATAATACTGAAAATACTGCAAGGAAGAAATCATCTTAGGAGTATCAAGGGCAATTTTTAATGTAGGCTGCATTCTCAGATTGAAAATTTGCAACTTTGTACTGGAAATAAATCCTCAATTATGTTCTCGCTCCCTTTAAAAAAAACCCCTGTAACGCTTTGTTCTCAATGTATTACATCAACTTAGGAAAAACCCTCAATTTCAGCCATCCTTGTACAATGTATTTAGAATATTCTACTTGCATCACCTGAAACAACTAAAACATATTAATACTACTATTTTTATGGTTTGAATCTTGACTCTCAATCCATTGTGAGAAGGCTTTACAGTAAGTGCTAATAGGGAAAGGGGGGGGGAAGTGTGCCAAGCAAATGTTTAAAAACAAAAAGGCTCATAACAATTACAAATTCTGCACCTGTCATATTATTCTCTTGTTAGAATAGGCTTCTGAGTTTTGCTGAGATATGCCCAAACTGAGAGTAATTTGGTCAAAGTAAGAGTGAGATGCACAGTATCACCTGCATTCCAAACCACACTAGCATTCAGAGTATCTTGCCAAGAATCAATTGTAAACCTTCCTCTTCTGGGCAATGTGTTAAGGCAGGTGGCAGCAGAGCAACTCCAGGCACTTCTGAATTAAACAGGTTATCTGGATCTACATTAAACTGCTAGGAGAGGTAATCCAGAGGTCTGGGTTGAGATCACAGCAATATGCTGATGATACTCCACTATATCTCTCATTCACATCAAATCCAGGTGAGGAGTGTCTGTGCTGAACTATGACTAAGCTCAACAGTGGATGGGAGACCAGACACCTCTTGGGAGTTCATTTCACAAGTGTGGTATTCTCAATCAAAAAGGCTCTCCTCCTGGTAAATACCCACTTCACTTTGTTTGGAAGAGGCTCTTGGAGAAGAACACCCCCTTTTAAAGTGGCAAAAAGAAATTAAGTACCAAGAAGCAATTGACAAAATAGACCTAAAGCAGCTGAATGACCATAAGCAACAGAGAAGATACTTCAAAGAAACAGCAAAGCTTAAAAACCATACATGCTTTTAGGGATAAAGACATCTCAAGCTACTAATGAAAACTTGTAAAAGAAACCAAATGGAGTTCTTCGAAGCAAATAATGCCAAACAGGGAGTCATGTTGGAAAAAACTCTCCATACATTTTTCCAAATTTCACCAATTTAAAAGATGGAACGAAGAGTAAGGCTTCATTTGTTGATGCAAGGAGGTATGTACAAGAGTACATGTTCTGGAAGATATGGCAGACACAGCCATTAAGGGCTTCAGAGGTTAACAAAGCACCTTGATTTAGTCCCAGAAATAAATCTGAAGCAGCATATACACTACCTGCAGAGTAACAGAAATGCTCAACTGCCAGGAGAACAAGCAGGCATGTTCTATCTCAGTGATCTTGTTCTCTCAGTCATGCACCAAACAGACAGCCCCCCAGATTGATGCATTTTAGCATGATACACATAATCCTACAAAATTTACACAAATTCCATATATGCATCTTGCTGATTTTAAACTAGTCATTTTGTGCAAGACATTAGAAAAGTCGTAAGAATTGCCTCAAGGTAAAAAATCTAACAAAAGCAAGCAGCATTTTTTGTGCATTTCTTTATCAATTTCTCAGTATTTACTCACCTATAGTCTGTGTAGGTTTTACAGAACTGGGCTTGTTTTCTTGAGGAAGACTTTCTGAATTCCTCGTTGAAAGGGGCTTAGTGGTAGGAGTTGTAGGTTTATCATTTGCCTCTCCTGTCCACCGAAGAGTAAACTGAAGTGTAGGTCCCTGAGAAAATGTTTCAAATGGAGGCAGCCTCTGAAATAGAAAAAAAAAAGCTTTTTGATTTTTCAAAGAGACATTTCTAAAGATGTAACGTTCTACTTTAAATAAAGGACTTCAATGAAAAAATCATGAAAAGGCAACCATTACTAGCAAAATACCCATTACTATTATGATTGGGACTGCTTTTATATGGCAAGGATCTATGAGGAAAGCACAGCATACCTTCCTTCTAGATACATCCTCATGCAGAACCCTCCTCACTGAAGGCTGAGCTACCCAATGTCGGGGCCAGAAATAAAACTTTGCTTCTACTGCAGTAGCAGACTCATGTGCAGTAACACTTGTCTTTGCAAGTCAGCAGCAGCGTGTGCTTGGACAAAAACAGGAGCAGAGTTAGGTACTAAACCTGAGCTCTGCCCAGTGACAACCTAATTTAAAAATCTCGTGACAGTTTATACAATTTTAAAAAATCAACAATTAAACAATTAAAAACTCCTTAGTGCCACTACTTGAAACTAAAATAATTAAAATACCAATTAACAGTTAAAAACTGGGTAAATAAAGAGGTTTTGGTCATAAAACCTTTGACTGGTGAGGTGAGAAACTGAATGGAATGAGAAATTGTGCCTCCCTCTTTGAAACTCCCGCACTTGAAAGTTCTTATTTGCTGGACAGTCAACAACTGTTGCTGAATCAATCAACAGTGTTCCATAAGTTCTCTTCCACTTTGTCTTTTAGGCAGCCATGAACAGCAAACTGAAGTAAAAATTATGACGTGATACTTTACAGAAACAAGGCCACACTCTGCCTGCTACCTGTAATATCTGATAGCAGTGACAACTCAAAAACTCTCTCTGTCTCTCTCTCACACACACTATTGCTGCAAAGATTTTGGTCCTGAAGGGTTACAATAATCACCACTACTTTCTGGTAACTCAATATTTTGAGTATCAGAAGTCAGTGCAAGAAGCTCATAATTTTATATACATACCCTCTGAGACAGTTAACAAGCAATTGTAGCGCATACCTTCCCATCAAGTATTGTTTCCCATGTTGCTCTTTTCTTGCTGATTGGGCACTCTTCCATTTCTTGCATGGCTACTTCATATTCCCCATCAAGAAGCTGTAGTCGTCTGTTACACACAAAATATACACATTTGCTGATGTTCAATACTGACCAAAAATCATGATTTAATGTCATTTGCTTAATTTCTTCATGTACATGTTGACCAAAATCCATGCATACCAGTCTGACGAATGCCTTTTTAACACCTTTGTTCCAAAGCCACTCCTGAGGGTCATGAATTTAGGTGGCACATTAGGACCCCTGTAGGCATAGTGCAGAAACAGTCTGCATGCACACTGGTTCTTTGAATCCCATCCTGTTACCTATACATTATCTACTAATACAACATACTATAGAAATTTCTAATTGTTGAAACACATATTTTGTGCCCTAGAAAAATAATAGCATGAAAATAAGGAGTTCAAACTTCCAGGTAGAAAAAGGGAGATAAAACCCCAGGATGCTTAACAAAACAAAACAAAAACAGTTTAATTCTTCGAAGCAGCCAAGTCCATTTTGGCCCTATGCATTTGGAATGTCATCAGGGATTAAACAAAACAAAAAAAGGGAAATAAAACACATGCACATACCTTGCTGAACTAAAATTCAATTTAAAAATCATCTAGTTCTACCTCTCTTCTAAATTACCAAGGTTGAAACACTAAGACTATGGCACACAAGAACGACTCCTTGGTCCTGTTTGCAGGACATGACAACATACTGGGAGTAAATTACCACAACGGGTTATTATCATTATGCCCAAACATAATGGCTTATAATTTTGGCAACCAACTGCCTGGACAACTCATGTTTCTGCAGGGGTCAGCCCCTCCATATATGCCCAAAAGACACTTTGGGGTGCGCATCACTGGGTTGGTACCATTTTAAAAAATGTGGTCCCAGAAAATTGTACAACTTTATATTATTATTATTATTATTATTATTATTGGTCTTTTGCAAGCAAGCAGGAGGCATTGTATATAAAAATACAGGTACAGGTGTTTTATGGTTTAGTATAGGTACACTAAAAAGCTGTGGTGCCAGACGTTCTGAGTAAGTGCACAACATACACCCTTTGTGTGTCCAGCCTATTACAGTCAATAGGTGGAAGATTTCACTCAACTGCAAAAAACAGTTATGTTTTCTCAGCTAAGATTCAGCTGAATCCTAATTATAAAGATATATTAGGATGACCAGTTCCAGAGACAACTAACGTATAAAGAGATTTTAAAAATGTGAGGAAGCTTGTTCCCATTCTAATGTGGGTCTCCAAAACACTAACTAAAGAAATGAACTACTAATCCATCCTGATCATTCTGCACAAGCTCAGGAGGAATTTCCTGGACATTTTCCAACAATACACAGGAAATTGTAGATCTTGGGAATGTAAGTTCTCACTACTGAGATTTCCCTCAGATTTCTACAAAGCATGTGGGAGTACTAATTCCCCACCAGCCACATGGTAGTCTAAAATCCAGATTAAATGCATAGCATCCTTTATTTCAGGAATAAAATAAATTGATTCTTAGCACTCTGGTTTTCTCTCTGCTGCACTGGTATCCAAATCCAAATAACAACTTGTAAATGATTTGATTCACAGTACTGCTGGATCCCTATAAATTGTTATTGAACAGCTCTAATGCACTGCTCTGAAACAGGTGCTGCTCTTTGGTCCCTCTAGCCTTTTCATGCACTTTCTTCAAGTATCTCCACTCTACACTCACAAGATAAGGATTTTGGGCTCTCAATCCTTCTGGATGAATCCTATTTAAAAGGGGCAAATAGAAATTACAGTAATTTAAATTTTGGATCATTTCTGAAAAGACTGTGTGGTTGAATAATATTCTGCATTAAAACATTTAAAATTCAATAAAATATAGCTTAAAAACTCACACCTGGTATACCTCCCTTAAAATTGTCAAATCTCACCACAATAGTTCTATAGACTTTTCTCTGTATTTCTGCTAGGGCTTAATCCTAACAGTACTAACAGCTCAGCATTGACCCATATATTTCAAATTCAGCAGTAAACTTTGCTATTTTGCAAATTCAGAAATACCCTCTCCTTTGTCAAATAGTCATTCACTGTGATCAATTTGGGCTAGCAATTCTTCTTGCATTAAGAGAAATTTCAGAATAGCCGAATACTGCTCATCCAAAAAGGATTGTTACTTGAGTGAAAAGTGACTGAACACAAGGCTGCATTAAATCCACTTTGAGAAGATTCTAAAAAGCAGCTCACTTGAATCTCAAGTGTCAATATCTATCCTAAACTTGCAGGACGGTACACAAGGAATTTAAATTTAGCTGGTTGTACTTTATTCAAAAACTGAAGAGCTGCAAATTTGTAATTTTTGTTTTAAGGTAAAGGTTTTTTCCACATGAAGAATTGGTGCATTTAGGATGCTACAATTTAATACAGCTGTACCATTTACTTAATTTGAAAGAGCCAGTGTGATATAGTGGTTAAAAGTGTGGGCCCTGGGACTCAGATGATCTGGGTTCTAGTCCCTACTCAGCTACAGAGCTAATTGAGTGACTCTGGGCCAGTCAGAAACTCACAGCCCAACCTACCTCACAGGATTGTTGCTATGAGGATAAGATTAAGAGGAGGAGAATGATGTAAGCCACCCTGAGTTCCTTGAAAGGAAAAAAGGTGGGGTATAAATATAATAAGTAAAATAACATAAATAACTGTGCAATCTATCTCCTTTTCTTTTTTACAATGCCATTGCAAATGTGGTAAGATCTGTCAGAGAGCCAATAACATTATCAACAGAAAGCAGAATAAACATACAAAGGAGATACCTCTCCCACCCTGCCAAGAAGCAGGACACAGGATATAAGACAACTGAAATGCTTGCCTGTTCTGAGCAATTCTAAATGCAATCAGATCTATTTTTATTCTATTATGCAAACACAACATCCATTTTAATTGGAGGTGAAACAAACTTGTCTCGGGCTGTTCCTTTAAGATGCCATCATGAAGAGTTTCTTAATTCCATTTTGGGAAAGATGAATCTTCAAAAATAGAGATTACACAGATGACACAAATTAAAATGAAATTAAGATGTAGATTATTAGAAATATGTTCCCCTAAGAGAATCCTTCTTTTTAAAAAACGTATTACCTGTTCTTATCAAATACAGTCATTTGTGCTACAAAGGTCTTTTCCCCATCTTCACGGTTAGAAGAATTGCGTTTTCTTCTAGTTGGAAGCTCCTCATTAACATCTGTATTTAGGCACATCAAAAATTACAGGGGATAAGTATTCATATTTGATGGCATAGTTGAGAAACAAAGTAGCTGAATTTGATTTAATGAAGTTACTGTTTCAAATTAATGCATAGGGTGACTGGTTCACACTTTACCTGGAACCAGACTGAGTTTAGTTTGACAACCCAACCAAGTTTGGAAAGTTTTGTTGCAGTCTCTGCTATTTTATACTGGAACAGATAGTTGTATATGACATCAAGCTACTCCAAAATATTACTCTTGCTTAAGTTAACAAAATATATGTTTAAATCCTTGACAAAGATGTCTAAAAGCACACCACCACAAGCTCTCGCTCTCACTTGTGCAAGAGTTTGGACAAGGGGAAGAAACAGTCAATATCTACTGTTTTTTGTTAGGTACTGCATTTTTCACTGTTCTCAACAGCAATGAACATGCACCCTCTAACAGAACATAGTTTCAAAGTACAATGAGAACAATGGTAGCAAACTTTTTCTAAAAAGTGTATGATCATTTTTAAGAACATTTCACTTCTGTATTTATTTGTGCTCCACCTTTCATTCCAAGAGGAAGCCTAAAGCACCTCCTGTAACAATTCTTTCTATATTTGAATGGATAGTATTTAGATGCCACATGTGAGGATGGATACATATTTAGATATTTGGCTCACCTTTTCTGAAGTTTATATATAACTAACTGTGTTAATAGTATTACTATGCACACACATACATATTTCTTATGCATCTATTGGAAATTATTTATTTTAATTAGTTCAAGAAGCCATTTTTTCTTTATAGTTTTCTTTGTTTTGGTAATATTCACAGTAATATTAATTTAAAAAGCACTCATACTAAAATCAATATACAGTAAGAAAGTTTACTGAATAATTATTTTGTGTTCTTTCCCTACTGGCCTTTGTCTTTGGGAGTACTTCTAGTCATGTTTTTATGGTGCTACCACACTGCCTCATTCAGATTTTTACAGGGGGTTCAAATATTATTGTCTTTCTTTCATAACCCTCCTGTGTTTTCCCATAGTTTCTTCTATCATTTCTCTTACTGCAGAAAGTCCATTAAGGAGCGAAAATTTGAAACAGCAGCACAATGCCTTCTGATTAACAGCAACTACAGCTCTCCACCTGGAAGAATCTTTAGGGGAGGCTCTGCTCTTTTTGACTCAATGAATGTATGGTACTAAGTTCTAGACATGCTTTTCTTCTGTTATAACAAAGATGCAGAACCTTCTTGGTCCTGAGGGACAGAGTCATGTTGTCACACAGGCATAAGCACACATGCATCCCAGTAATCCCGATACAGCTCACTTTTGCCCTGTCATTACTAGAAGTGAGGAAAGAGTTGCGTGTATTAAAATCTCTAGGTGAAGAAGTAAGGACTAGCATTATATGATCAGGCCACAAATTGGGGTGCACAGCAGAGGTTCTGAAAACAGGCTGTGCATCCCTGTATTAGAATAACGCTCATAAGGCATCCTCCAAGAGCATCAAAAAATTGAAGCAACTTTGGAAAATGTTCATATGAAGCCAGTAGTTAAGGAACACCCGTGCATTCCAAAATTTGCTCTACCTTTTTCCTTAAGCAGCTTTTTGAGTCTTTTCCCCTAGCTGGAAATACTAAAAGAACATGTTCTGAATAGACTTCAAGATTACTTACCAATGTTTTCATTAGTTTCACCATTTATCATCCCATTAAATTCTCTTCTTCCTGGACGTGTTACTCTGAATAATAATGAGTAAGACTTCACCATATGGCTGTTACTAGGTTCAAACTCATTGCTAGAAACAGCAAGTGAAGGAAAGTTGCCTGGTTTCATTTGATTGAGGTCTGGATTCAAAGGTACCTGCTTTTTACCAGTGGGCACTTGCCTTATTGGACAACTAACATCCTGCAAATAGAAATAAGATATATTTAATATTTTCATTATATGGACAAAGAGAACAAAACTGCTTATGAAACTGATTTGAGGCTTTTACTTTTTAAAGAATGCAGCAATGAACTTGTTGCTGTAACACGAGTGGAACATCTACTTGCTAACACAAAATACTTCCAAGTTGGGTGGGGATATAAGTTTCATTATAGCCAGAAAGTGATCACTGCCTTTGGGGACCTCTTTTCTGTCTGACCATGTGGTGTGCTGCCCTGCCGTGCCCCTCTTCCTCCTTCATGTTAATAGGAGTGACAAAACAGCACACTAGGAATGCACATTCAATATTCAAATTAGAAGAGGGGGAAAAGACCCATGCCCTTCACAAAGTTAAATAGTGGTAACAGCAATGCCACCTGAGCTTACTTGTGGGTTCTATCCCAGCTGCTAGAGTGGGATGGCTTAAAACAGCAGCAGATAGCATACTTCACAGGATCAGTGTTAAATCAGACTTTTTCTTATTCCCAGGGCAAAAGTTTCAGTTAAACACTGAATTATTCAATATGAAGACAAAGGGCATACTTGCAATATGAAGTACCTGTTGGTAATATTCAGTGCTTTTTTTGTCACAGAATGCACTGGAACAGAGTTCCAGCACCTTTTTTCAACAGATTTTCCAAGTTTTAAAAGTAACCTTTGAAAATTTGATGTTTGGTCCATGTGGATTTGAATCACCCTGTCGAGCATAGCAGGTCGGCGGCAAATTCATTAATATGGTGCATGCGGGCTGCTTGTGTGTCAAATCCGATACATGCGTACTTTATCTGCGCTGGTTGTGATGGTGCTGCTCAGCTTGTGGTGCTGCTCGGCTTGTGATTGGTCGTGTGGTTGTGCGCTGAGTGCTTACTACGGGCAGCGACCGTTATGTTTCGTTACACAACTGACGTGTGTGGGTGTGTGTACAGTGATTGACTATGTGTGAAAGGTAAATAATTTCATGTGTTCCGGCACTTTTTTTTTTTTTTTTACAAAAAAAGCACTGGTAATATTTCACAGCACAGAAATAGATAACCTAGACAATTCCTCAGATACTGACTGTTAAATGTCTGAGAATAAAATAATTGTAAACTAGTCTGGATTGATGCGAAAACTTTATATTCCTGAATTAGAGATCAGATTAGTTGATAAATTCAATCATCATGGCAAATGGGGCGGGGGATCCTTACTGAGTGTAATGTGGGACTAAACCTTCCTCCCTACCCTGCAGCAACAGAGGTGGCTCAAAATTTTCCAAGCAGTTGCCCATGAATCCTGCTACACTCCCATATCCAGAGTGGAAGAAGAGTTGGGGATTGTTTGGCAACTGCAAATCCAAGAAACCAGAAAAACCTTGGCCACCTAGGGTCAAACCAGTGAATTTGAGGCTACTGCCTGAAGGTCCTCTTCAGGACCTATTTTTCATTCTTTTTTCAAAAAGTTATTTTTAAATCCTTTAAGCTATGATGAAACCCACAACTCCACTGCTTCTTCCACTCTGCCAACAAAGCCACCGGCTTTGAATAGAAAAAAGATTAAAAATAAAGAATGAAAAAACAAACCAAGGAAAGAAATGGCAGTAAGCCCCCTTGGAAGTGTGAACCCCCTTTCCTCTTCACAAAATCATTTTGCTCCTCGCATTTTAAAGTTCAAACCAAAATGCCAAACTGCTGAATGAAATAAAAGGGCAGCAGTCCAACTAGAATTAATTTGGTTTCATCCAACTAATAACCATAGGATTGCCTTTAAAAGTTTGCTTTTAAATTAAAGGTAAACGTTTCCCCATGACAATAAAGTCCAGCCATGTCTGACTCTAGGGGGCAGTGCTCATCTGTTTCCTAGCCAAGGGAGCCAGTGTTTGTCCGCAGTCAGTCTCCGTGGTCATGTGGCCAGCATGACTAAACACCGAAGTGCACTGAACGCTGTTACCGTCCCACTGAAGTGGTACCTTTTTATCTATTTCCATTTGCATGTTTTCAAACTGCAAGGTTGGCAGGAGCTGGGACGAAGCACGGGAGCTCACCCCATGTGCAGATTCGAACTGTCGACCTTTTGATCAACCAGCTCAGCAGTTTAACCCACTGCACCACCACATCCCATCCACCTTTAAATCACCTTTAAAAGAGAAACTAGAAGGCACAAGCATCCAAGGATTAAAAAACAAAAATAAATAAGTCTAATACCACAATAGTATGAGAAACAAATAGACAACTCAATTTTTTGGGCAACTGAAAGGTTCCTATAGAATAGTATTCCAGAGTTCCTCTGGCAACTATAACTCTGCCAAGCTCAAGTGACTAAATTCTGCTTTCTCTGGGCATTGTTAAAGCACCAGTAAACTTACCTTTCGTTTCTTATGGCAAACTTTTACAAGCAATACTTCCAGCGTTACAGAACTTTGTTCATTTTCAGAGTTTTGCAATGGCTTATCTAAAAGAGCATAAGGGGAAGGGGGAATATTTAAAATCCTAAAAATACAAGAATTCATTGTAGCCAGGATAATTATGCAGTGCTATGTCTGGGTATGCCCATGTTTAGTAAGTTGACTGGGAGTCATTTGGAAGGAAACCCCTGCCACCATTTCCAGTGCCCCCTCAAACCTAGCACTATCTGAGCAACTGCTGCTCAATGAGGGGACCAAGCAAGTGGCAACGTGCACAACTTGAACTGAGTATTTGCCATTTTCATGCACAAATATCTCAACTGAAACATTTAATCTAAGTATAAACACAGACAGAAGAAGTTAGTACTTAATGGTAGCCACCTGCACAAGCCCCAATGGAATTATAATACAAGGGATGGATTCCAACATCATGCAAGGGGATAGGACTTTCTCCCCCTCCACAAGCCCCACATTGAAAATCTGCTCTGGGAAGTTCCTTAACTTCACCTCAGAAGATTTTGAGGGCACATGGAAAGCTACTAGGGGAGAAATGTCTCCTCCCAGTTACAATGACTATAGCAGTTTCATCAACAGAACAAAACTGGATTGCATCTTAAATTTTAGAACTGCCCTATTTCTACACTCTTAGCACAACAGACAAAGTTTCAGGGCACATTCCTCTCAGGAAACCTCTAAGCTCCTGAAATTGAAGGCTTATGGACATCTTCTGTAGAATGAAAGGAACAGCAGAGGCAATCTTTGCCTCTCCATCATTTTGCTCTGCATTTCACTAGAAAGGCCTTTCCACTCCTCTAGCAACAGCACTTCAAGCAGGGAGGAATGGAAGTGGTAGAGGTGAAGGATGGCCTTTCAAGTCTCCTCCATGTTCCAACCTCTCTTCAAGATTGCTTTCCTGACTATAGAGGGTGGGCAGTGCAGTTTTTTCCATGTGGCCTGAGGATGGGGTGGCCTAGTGTTCTAATTCCCAGTTCCAAAATCAGAGTGCTGTTTCCAAAATTCAGAGCATCATGTCTGAACTTGGAGATGGTAAGCTGAAAAATCCTATGGCTTAGGGCCCATAGGATTGTTCCTTCTATTTCCTTGGCTCTTTTGCTAGGAGAGATGTTTTATTCAAACATTGGTTTATATAAATCAGTTTTCTTCCCACCACCCAAATGCGTAACATACTCTAAGACTTTGAAATCTGGTACCACATAAATGTAATAACAAGAAGATATTTATGAGGAGGGCACTGTATTTCCCAGAAGCAAGCTCCAAATTTATTTATTTAAACTTTCTTATATACTGTCTTTATACTTTATATTATAAAATCTAAAAGCAGTTTACATAAAAAGCCAAAATGTAAATATATGTCAAAACTGTATTATAACAATAAAATAGTTAAAACCTCCTTAGTGCCCAAACTTGCTACAACACATTAAAATACATTACTGATTAAAAATGGAGAATGAAAAGGTTTTGGCCTAGTGCTGAAACGAAGCATCAACACCAGGTGGACCTCTCTGGGAAGCAAGTTCCATAATCAGGGCACTACTGCAGAGAAGACTCTCCTCACCTCTCTCTAGGAGGGCTCTCAGAGGCCCTCTCCGAATGATCTTAGGGTCTGGGCAGGTTCATACGGAAGGAGATGTTCCCTTAGGCAACCAGGCCCTAAACCATGTAGGTCTTTATACATTATTGTTAATACCTTAAATCGAGCCCGGACTTCAATTGGTAGCCAGTGTAGCTTATATAGGACCGGTGTGATGTGTTCTCATCCATCGGTCCCTGTCAGCAGTCTGGCAGCTCTATTCTGAACCAATTGCAATGTCCAGATAGGGTTATCTTCAAGGGTAGCGCCACAATGAGCTCATTACAATAGTCCAAGAAGGAGGTTACCAGTGCATGGGTTACTGTTGCTAGGGCCTGTCTGTCCAGGTAAGGACACAGCTGATGTACCAGTCTTAGCAGAAGGAAAGCACTCCTTGCTGCAGATGCCACCTGTAATTCCAGGGATACCTCAGGGTCAAGGAGTATTCCCAAGCTCTGTACACTGTCCTGTAGTGGGAGTGCAACCCCGTCCAAGACAGGGCAAATATCACTTATCTGAACAGCTGGTCCACCCACTAGCAACACTTCGGTCCTATCTGGATTGAGCTTCAATTCACTGGCCCTCATCCAGCCCATCAGAATGTTCAGACACCTGTTTAGAGCAGTCACTACCACACCTGCATTGAATGTAAATGAGATTCAGAGCTGGGTGTCACCAGTGTACTGATGATTCCTCAGCCTAAACCTCTGGATTACCTCTCCCAGAGGCTTAATGTAGATATTGAACAGCATAGGGGATAAAATGGAATCCTGCAGAACCTATGGCATTACTACCATGGCTCAGAGCCACAATCCCCCAGCAATACCATCTGGGTAACCAGTCCTGAAACATGATAGAAATGGGTCTAGATGGTTAGCTTCCTCCAAGAGCACCTGGAGTTGCCCAGCCAATACTTACTAGTCTAAGTATTTAAATCCAATAGAAATACAGAGGTCAATGAGCTTCTGGCAGACACAAATATTATAGTCCACAGATTTCCCCTTTAAAATTCCAATTTGAGGCCAAATGTATAAGAAAAATCAAGTCTCCACACATTAAACTCATGTTTTAAGTACACTAACTGCACTGCTGATTTTCCACATGGATGGCATTCTCTCAATAGCAAGCTCAGTACTCAGTCTGAACAGAGTAGGAAGCAGTAAAGCATACTTCTACAAAACTGAATAGTTCAAATATGTTCCATATTAAGATTCATACTATTTATTAGAACCAAATTTTATGCACCATTATTTGATCAATGACTTGTTGATCTTGCATATTAAGGTCAAAAATCAGTTTGTGAGAATGGTTATGTTATACTACTTCACTGAACAACAGAATTACTAGAGTTACAAAAAATTTGGGGCCGTTTTACATGGTGGTTTTGTTTGTTTACCTTGTCTTAGCCTTAACTCTTAAGCTTAAGTCTCTAATTAATGTCAATAAATTGCAGTGGAAGGGGCAAAAGACATGAAATACATACCATTTTTATGGAAGAAACCAGTAAAGGTAAGTTGTAGATGAGCAGATAAACTGAATGAAGAAACACAAAGTTACACTTTTGAACATATGACATTGTTTAGAACTCTTCAGATATTCTATGCATAAAACAATTACATCTTACTTACTAAAAATCATATAAACTCAAGAAATAATAGTCAAATGCCTGTTAAAAACACCCATTTAAGTGTCCTACATGATCAGTTTGTTTGTTCCTTTTGTCCTAGAATGACCCAAGGTGAATTTAATGTACACAAACCTAAGTACTGTTGGTTGAGGGCTCTGATAAATTGGGCTTAAGCATATATATTGATCTTTTGCAATCCCCTCCTAAGAACTGGATTTGCTGCTTGGGTTACTCCTGGACTTAACACTGATTTTGGATGGCAAGGTGGTGACAGGGCCTTTTTATCAACTTCAGCTGGTATATCATGTACACTCTTGAGTTTCTGATCTGGCCTCTCACATTAATGCCCGAGATAAAGCCATGTATTACAACACATATTATATCAGGCTACCTTTGAAGACAATTCAGGGTTAGGGTTCAGTTGGTTGTTATATTGTTCACCAGGACCTGTATTAAATTATGTAATTCCTATCTCATACTTTTACTGGATACCAAATATATTCCTTGCCCCAATCCAAATGACTAAGTTTGAAATATAAAGAGCAGATCCAGCCTTCCCAGGTCAGGTGCCTTCCAGAAGTGTTTGACTACAATAATCCCCAGTCAGCAAAGTCTGCCTTAAACAGTACTCCATACAAACCTGCCTGAATAATGAAGTCATCTATGAAGCCCTGCTCTGGATTCTTTTCCTCAATGCAGATAGATTGTTGTATCAGGCTTTTCTGATTCAAATGCATCACTTAGGACTGGTTACATTTTAAAATTACAATTTTGTAAAAATAACACCATAAAACTATCAACTAAGGAAGCAGCATCAGCACTTAAGAATAGAATGCAAAATATTATCCATCACATATAAGAATAGCTTACTGGTTTGAGACAGCAACAAACTGCCAAAAAAATAGTGAGGAAGGGGCAAGGGTTTTTTTCTGTAGTGGCAGCAACACTATAGAATGCCCACCTACAACAAAAAGGGACTTCAACACCAACCTATCAAGTGCACTTCTGGGATGACTTAATTGATTAGGAAATGTGTTAAAGGTAATTTACTAAGGGTACTTAAAGGTTAGGATTCTTAAGTTTTATGTTTTAATTGCCTACAGTGCTTTAATTGGTTTGTACTTTATCAAGTTTGCTTAGCTGCTTTAAACATAGTTTAAAGTAAAGAGTAGAATAAAACCATCTGGAAGCATTAAAATATTAAGACTGAGAACTATAATTATCAATAGAACACAGAGGCTTTCATAGCACCTGTTCCACAACTATGAGTCAACTTTCTCCTGAAGATTCACCCGTATTTAAACTTCCCATATGCACTACATTTTATTTGGAATGACTTTTTGTGCTTGGGATTAAGACATTGACATGAGTAGCATTTTAACAGACATTAAATACAGACATTAAAATAATTAACATGAATTCAAATAAAATGCAGAGATTCTCTGAACACATGGCCAACTAAATAAAGCTTCAATTGTGTGTAAGAGAAATTTTTCCAATGCTTTGTTTTTCCATGGAAAATGTTCCATTTCTTAAGTTCATAAGCAGCAAATGGATAACAATAATGAGTAAGTATTAGACAAGCTTGGAAGTTTCAAAATTATAAAGTTTTTCAATTATTCCAAACAAGTACGTGAGGTAATATTATTTGTAACTGAAATACATTTATATCTGAATGAAACAGTACTAATCAGTAATGACAATTACTATGAAAAAGATGTTCTATCAACCTCAGTGGAAGAGTTGGAAGCTTCTCTCCATGAAGCATTCACTGCCTGCTCATTGATCCCTACTCACAATTGTTTATGGGTTCCTCAAGCAACATAACCATCCAGTTTTGCTTCTAGTATCTAAAGTACATTTACTTTATTCTAAAGTAAACTTTCATCAAGCTTTCTTTTTAAAACAGGAAAATTGTGAAATTATTTGTAAGAGTGAACAAACAAATTTGTGCATTTGTGTTGTTCTGCTAATCTACAGTGTCAGATCATAATTCTGCAATGAAATCAAAAGTATATACAGTACATTAACAACCTTGTATAGGAACACGCTTAAACTCTCCTAAAATAGTGGAGTGGTTGACACATTATTATGCACAGTACATTATCAGTATGCTAACAGCTTTCAGTACCTGTTTTTTGCTTAAATTTAAATACCAGGAATGTATATGTTATTGTCTTGAAAGATTTACAAGTATTCCAATATAAATTATTGCATAATGTAGCATTTAAACAATATTAAGTATGTTTTATTTTCTCCCTCAAATATTTCAGGTCAAATACTTGCAGTATGTTAAGACCATGGGGTAATTTTTAAAGCTTTGGTTCCCAAACACCAAGTTAGTTAGGGTTACCATAGAATAGGGTGAGCAATTTGCAGGCCAAAACAGTTGGAGGACTATAACTCCCATGAGCCCAAACCAGCTTAACCAGAAATGGGGCAAGATAGAGGTTATTACTCAAAACACGTGGAAAGTCATAATTTGTCTATCCTTTCTACAAAGCATCAGAAAATGTTCTAATGAAAACTGGTTAAATTAAACTGGTCTAAATTATCCAATACAAAATAACCTAAATGACACAGGAACATTTTCCAGTTCAAACTTTCCCAGAAAACCCACACCAGTATAATATCTAGGATGGTAATAAAATCCTGTTTCTCTAATGCAGAATTTTATTTAGAGACAGGAGGGGCAAATGCAAAATTAATGTTCTGTCTTCTGTAGAGGCATGCAAGTATATCAGACAAGACCATTTCCCACCAAGATTACAAGTCTATTTTGGTAATATTTCACTTATAGAATTCTACCAGGAAGTAATCTAGTTTAAGATTTACATGTTACATTTAAAAAATTATGCATGGTGTGAACAAGTTGGAGGGGATCTCTGGGTCATCCAATAAAACTAGAGTGTCCGAATGAAGTATTTCTTTACATAGCACACTTTTCTGGAATTTTCTGCCACTATGTATGTGATAGATACCTGTTAATGTTTTTTAAAAAAGGGATTAGACACATTCAAGAAGGATGCATTAATAATTATTAGCCATAAAGGCTACATGGAGCCTCCATGCTGAGGCAGTATGCCATTGAACAACAAATGCTGGTGGGGCAATGCGGGGGGGGAGGGGCGGTGTTTGGAGAGCAGCAACAAATTTTTGCTCATACTTAGGAGGCTTCTTATTTCCTGTCCTTATCCCATGACTACTCTTTGTTGACAGAATTACTACTGCAAAGTATTGACTAATCTGTAAAGGTCCAGAAATTTCCAGAAGCAAAGGATGCTACTTACTGGACAAATGAATTTTTAACTGGTCTTGCTATGAAATCCACATCTCTTTTGTAAGTGTTAATCAGAATTTGAAAGCTTGATCAAACTGTAGTTTTGCTATTTTTCTGAAAGTACACAAGTTGGATTTTTTAAAACTAAGATACAGAATGTAACAAAGAAAAAGCCAATATGGATGAGAGAAGAAACATGTTACGTGCAAAGGACAGGTGAGAAGCAAAAGGTAACAGAAATAGGGTTAGAATCCTGAATGCAATTTTTCAGCAACTATTAAGCAGAGAGAAAAAGAACTATTACAATGATCAGTGCAAAGAAACAGGAAAGAGCAGCAAAAGAGGAAAAACAAGAGACCTCTTCCAGAAGTTCCAAGAAATCAAAGGGAAATTCAAAACTAGATTAGGAATGCTAAAAGTCAAACAAGGGAGCATACTATCTGACCAGGAGAAAATAAAGAGAATGTGAAAATATACAAGAGAACTATACTGAGAAGGATGACAAATTTCTTCTAAGTGAAATCTTATGAAAATCCTGCAGTATTAGGGAGCAAAGTGAAAGCTATTCCAAGCTACAGAAAATGAATCAGTCCAAATTCTAACAAAATATGTCAATCAATATGGAAAACAAAACAATAGCCCACAGACTTGAAATATTCAATATGTATTTCAATCCCCAAGGAAGGAGAGGCAAAAGAGTGCAGCAACTATAGGACCATTGCATTAATCTCCCATGCAAGCAAAGCTATGCTCAAACTGTTAAGACAAAGACTACTACCTTGTATAGAGTGAGAAATGCCAGACATCCAAACTGGATTCCCAAAAAGAAGGGGTACTAAAGATCATATTGCAAATACTTGTTGGCTACTGGAATGTACCAAAGAATTAAAAAAAAAATCACTCTATGCTTTGCAGACTACAGCAAAGCCTTGTACTTTGTGGATCATAAGAAGCTATGGATGGTCCTGAAAGAAATGGGGGGCGGCCTCTACACTTGATTGTCCTGATGCGAAATCTATATCATGAAAAATAGGTTAGTTAGAAAAGAATATAGAGAAAAAGAATGGTTTCTCATAGAAAAAGGAGTCAGATAAGGATGTATTTTATCTCCCTATCTTTTCAATCTGTATGCAGAACATATCATAGGGAAAGCTGGTTTAGAATCAGAGGAAGGAGTGAAAATTGGTGAAACAAATATTTGCATATCTTAAATTAATGATGATACCATATTGCTGGGAGAAAGCAGCAATGACTCAAAACAACTCCTGGTGAAAAGTGAAAGTGCAAAAGCAGGACTGCAGCTGAATATTAAGAAGACAAAAATCATGCCCACAGAAGAATTACAGAACTTTATTGTTAATCATCGAAATTGTGAAAGATTTCACATACCTCGGCTCAGTCATCAATTCAAAGGAAGACTGCAGCCAAGAAATTCGAAGACGACTGAGACTTGGAAGGGCACCAATGAGTGAACTAGAAAAGATCATCAAGTGTAAGGACATTTTACTGGAGACCACGATCAAGATCATCCAAACTATTGTATTCCTAATCACAATCTTTGGGTGTGCAAGCTGGATAGTGAGGAAAATTAACAGGAAGAAAATTGCTGGATTCAAAACATGGTGCTGGAAGAGAGCTTTATGAATATCCTGGACTGAGAGAAAGACAAGCAAGGAGGTCCTAGATCAAATCAAGGTAGAGTTCTCTTGAAACAAAAAAAAAAAGGAAAACTGAGGAGTTTGTACTTTGGACACATCATGAGATGGCAAGTCCTTCTGGAGAAGACAATCATGTTAGAGAAAGTCAAAGACAGAAGACCAAGTATGAGATAGACTGAATCCATAAAGGAAGCCACAACCTTGACTTTAGAACAGCTGAGCAGGGATATCACGCATATGACATTCTAGAGGGCTTTCATTAACAGGGTCGCCATAAGTCCAAGATGACTTGACAGCACATAACGTAAGTTATCTTACCCTGATATCTGGGGCAAAATTGTAATATGTATGATTACATGCTAGTTCACAGTCTCAAGTATCAAATCTGTAATAACTTAACAGACTTGTGCCACATGTTTATCTTTCAAGTCAAGGCACAATCCATGTTCCTCCCGCCGTTTTTTCTTTATACAGAAAAGCAGTATTTATTCAATGTGTGTGGTAGGGTCAATAGATCCATCTGAAAAAATTCGAAATGGCTTCATAGTAGTACAGATTTTTAAAGAAGGTCAATTAATAAAATATAACTTAACCCATTCATTTAAAACATCCCATATTTCCAAAAAGTGCATATATAGAAAAATAAAAATAAAAATGCAACACTTTAAAATAGTTACTTGAAAATGAAACACCAGGGGAAAAAACATTAGAACAGAAGAAAACACCAAGACACATTCATGGCATTCCTGAAAAGAAGGGTCACACTAGGATATAATATCAGGGAATATGAGGGGGAATCACTCAGGGAATTCCAAAGTCCAGGTACAGCCAATGAAATGGCCCTTTATTTGGTCATAGTCATCAGGATTTCTAAAGCACACAGAAGGACCTCTGTTGATAGTCTCAATACTTGGACAGGCTTGTAATGCAGAAGGCAATCCTTCCAAGTATCCTGGAATCATTTACATATTTTTAAAGGTCATGTTTAATTATATCAAATTAATTTTGGGTCAGTTTAAATTGGGTACTTTGAATTGGGTCCGGAAACCAAAGCTGCTATTTCAGCATAGGCACAGACTAATTCCTGGCTCCAGTTATTAGGCATCATATTTTGATAAATCTGAACACTTTTCAAAAGCGGAACCACATGGAATACAGACATCATAGGACAGAGGCATGAAGTCAGATTAGACTTCTTGAAGAAAGGGTATAGTTGATATACCAACATGACCTGGACAAAATAATCTGTGGTAAGAGCTATTATTTAGACATCCAGAATAAAGCCGGGTCCAGAAACACCTCCAAACTACAAACGTCTAACTTTAATGCAATTATTACCCTACCCATCAAAATCATATTTGTTCTTTAAATAAATTGAAACATCTTTATTTAGATGTTAGCTATCTAATACATTCTTACTAGAAAAACAAAAACATAACAGAAGGCTAGGATTCTAACAGTATCAGACAGTCAAAATCTTAGGTCTACCATTTTGACAAACATGCAACAAGAATCTCTTGAACAACAGAGTGTTATAGTAACTAGTGACCAGTAACAGAAGATGAGGAGGAGCATTTCCATTTGCAATCTACAAATGGAAATGTTCATCCCAATCCCAACCCTGCAATGATAATTAGACTACATAATGGAAATCAATGAAATTTCAAAAAATCAGTAATAGGCTCCAGCCTGCATGCTGCATTCCTACCCAGGAAGGGAAAGCAAACAGCCTGCTTCTTTGTAGGGATTTCCCTTCCATATGCCTCTATTTTGTTTAATTTCATCCAAGTGACAAACTGCTACACCATAAGTTTACCAAGGAACAAAAAATACATGATTCCTTTTCCAAAATTCACTTTCATATATTTTATTATAGGAAAAGCAGATTCAAATTATCTTCATCACATTAGAATTCACTTCAGCAAGAGTTCTGACACAGAAAATATTCAATCCCATTATGTATCTATGGCAGTTGAAACATGGCTACTGAAATGTATCAGTTGATAAAATGAATGTTACCTTTGTAAGTCGTGTTCTCCCTTTGTTTTCTCTACTTTCGTCAGCATCCCGTCTACTCTGAAAGTTTTCCTGTAATAGAAGTTGGTTTTTGAAATTTCATTGATTTCCGTTATGTAGTACAGTTTTGTTTCATAAAGATTTCTTCCAAGAACCCTTTTTGTACGTCTAGAAAAGTCCCATACACTAAAAAAGTAAAATATTTCAGATTTGTTTGTGAAATATTGACGTTGTGGCTTTTACAGTTTACATGTGTGATGTTCATCTCTAAATGTTTTGAGTTTTTCTGCCAATTACTTTCACTGTTAAAAATGTATTCTCTTGATTCAAAAACACACAGAATTAAAATATGTTGTGCTTGCTTATAACTGGGTGTCATCTTCACAAGGCAGGGGCATGGCTCAATGGTAAGAGTACATGCTTTTCCTGCAAAGGGTCCTAGATTCAATTCACAGCATTGCCAAGTAGTGCTGAAAAAATTCCTACCTGAAAACTAGTGCAGTTAGTGGCAACAATACAGGGCTGGTCTAACTTGGTAAAAAGCAGGCAGAATCTTGTGTTCAATTACTACAAGCATGAATACATGCAGGTATGATGGTTTAAAGTCTTAAGTTTTATTATCTAAATTCAGAAATAACTTTTTTGTATTAAGAGTTCTTCTAACCATCAGTAACTTGGAGCGCTATGCAATTCACCATAGCACTAACTTATGTTACACTAGCATAAGCAACCTCTAGCGCAAAACGAATAGATTTTGCTGGTGCAATGGATTTCCTAGGGAAACCCATCACATCATCAAATGCTATTGCCACTGTTAGAAGTCACTTTTGTAGTGCAACATAAGGTACATCTGTGCTAATTTTGAATTGTATACTGCCCATATATTTTTGTGCCTAAATTTGTGTTCAGTTTCAGTGATATGCTACCATCTTTGTATGACCAAATAGCCTGTAGGCCAGCAGAAAAATAAAATTTTCAGAAGTTTCTAGGCCTGGCACTAGCAGATGATGGCCAAATACCTTTCTTTATAAAAATACTGGAAAACCTGCCACATTGTTCAGCATTGCATCAGTCTGCTACTGCTTAATAATTAATATTTCAGAAAAGCTGTTTTCTTCTTCAGTGCTTCTTGAAATCCTGTATAGGGCTATACTGGATTTAACAAGGTTTAAAATATTAACTATATTCCTCAAGTTTTGAGATTGAAAAATGAAATTTGCTCATTAGAAGATGCTTCCATATGTAAGGATATGAAATATACATTTTCATGCAGGAGAAGGTCATACATACAACATGGAACTACTATTAATCTACTCTGAGTAATGAAAAACTTTATATACAGTCCATAAATGAAATAATCAAACTAAAATGCAGCAACAAACATTCCTTACAGGCTTTAATTGCATTGTTCTCTTTGCTTCAAATAAACTTACTCAAACTGAAAAATGAAAATACGTGCCAGGTAGCACCATATATTCCAAACTTACTCAGAAAGGCAGTCTTCTCATCCCTAGGAATCAGTAAGCTGCTTCACATGACAATGACAGCCCATCATTGCTTAATTTACCTGCCAGAGCTGTTCTTTACACTGTACATCCACAGATCCACATCCATAGATGGTCAGTTTGTTCTGTTGTGCAACCCTCAAATTATCCTAAAACAAGTCAAGATTTGTTTGAAGGCTGTCCAACCATCAAACAACCCCTGCAGAGTGGGTTTATATGCCCCAGCAAGCACCATGGATAAATGTTTTTGGAGTTCAGAATCATACAAGAGCCAGTGGATAAATTAAACCATGTGTCATGCAAATTAGGTTAACAGCTGCATTTTCATTTATCAACATTGATGGGCATTAAGCCAAGAGTTTACTTTTCAGTATATACATAGATGTGAAAGAATTAAACATGAAATTATTATTTATTTTGGTTATTATTTTGGTATGTGTCTTTGCTGCTTATTTTTTTAAGCTTGAATATGTGATCCTTCCCTGCTTTTTTACTTATGGGGTGCTGTTACAGATACACAAAACAGTTTTTAGTTCCTTGTTCTGGGAATATATTTGGGAGGACAGGCTGATAAGGTACCACTACTGTACATGTTTTGAAGGAAAAAGTGGGAATACATATTTTTAACCTGCCTTTCAGAGCACACTATCCTCACAACAGTTTACACACAAGCTTTTAAAACCTAAAAAATAAAATTTCAACATTTAAGCAACTGACAAGTCATAAGTAACGTAAGTCTCTCCCCTTCAAGCCCCTCCTTCTAGGAATTCAGGAAGTTCTGGCTAGGATCTCATAATATCTTCAAATGTTGCTAGTAAATACTGTACTGTGTCAGCAAACAGAAAACCACCATTCATTCCAGGTTTGATTTTGGATGAGAAAATTGACTTCACACATATTAACAAGATTTAGTTGAAAATAAAGGGAAGGGGCAAATTTCTCCTGCTTTACTCATGAAATCTCTTGACACAACAGCTGCTCATCTAAACTGGATGGGTAGGGAGAGAGGATATCACCTGGCTTTACTGGAATTTCAACTCCCTTTCCTGTCCAGCAGTCTAACATCCAGTGTTAGCAGCTAAAGTGTCTCTCCACCCTGTGGACCAACAGTCGCCCTGCGACTGAAGTAGTCTCGGGGGATGGTATTGTCTTGAGGAGCTGTAACATCCATATTAGGGATGTTTTGTTGGGTAGAACACAGGAATTCATGGCCAACATCACAATTAGGGGGCTATTTCAAGCTACTCTGGCAGAATGAATACAGGGTCTTAAGTTCAATTTGATTTCCTGTTCTAGGCAGCAGTAACATTGTTCCTTGAGTGCTAGAACTGGGATGGAGTTCCCTTGTCACAGACAGAGGACTCCAAAGCTTAAACTAGGCATGTCTTCTCAACCCCACAACATCAGAAAGCTTATTGGAATAATCTACTTTTGGAGGTTTAAGGATCCAAATGATTTCCCAATGTATCTGATTTCCCTGGTAGCACAGATGCCCTGGTATATCTTTGGAATATAGAGATGATCTGGGCTGACAACATAGAGCCTAAGAGCAATCTTCTATCTCATAGAGCCAATCTCTTTCATTTGTTTACTTGATAGTTAGGGGCAGTGGTGGTGAACCTATGGCATGTGTGCCACAGCGGGCACGCAAAGCCCTCTCTGTTGGCACATGAGCCAAGTTGCCCCAGCATCCGAGCATCGGTTAACAGTGCACATAGGGGCCATGCGCAGGCTTGGAAAGTAGTGGCGCCAGGCAATGACATCATGAGCCGCAACTCATTAGCTGTGACTTGTCCAAGCTTTCGCATGGCCAGTCAGTGCACTGCCAAGTAGATAGATAGATAGATAGATAGATAGATAGATAGATAGATAGATAGATAGATAGATGCTTGGACAGGCTGTGAGTTGTTTCTTCTAAACTAAAACCTAAGTATTCAGGTTTTATTGCAGTGTTGGCACTTGGCGACAAATACGAGGGTTTTGGGTTGCAGTTTCGGCACTCGGTCTCTAAAAGGTTCACCATCACTGGTTAGGGGCGATGAATCAAACAGAATTGCTCGAGGACAAATGCTTTAAAACTCAGCCTTGAATCTGAGACACACAGATCAGAATCCATCATCTCATCTGTTCAAGTGTCATCCAGCAAAGTTGTTCCAAGTAGTTAAAGGCTTGCTACGTTCTGGCCATAAAAAACAGACCAGCTCTTTGAAATCTGCTGTAACAAGTTTGTGAAGTACTTCAGATAAATTTGCTCAAATCCACATTCATACCATGCTTATTTTTGAAGCCAGTTCTAGTTGACACCAAGGCACCATAGAGCAGGGGTCCTCAAACGTTTTAAACAGGGGGCCAGTTCACTGTCCCTCAGACTGTTGGGGGGTGGACTATAGTTCGAAAAAAATATGAACGAATTCCTACGCACACTGCACATATCTTATTTGTAGTGCAAAAAACAATACAAGATTTAATATGAGAAACAATTTTAATCAACATAAACTTAGTAGTATTTCAATGGGAAGTATGGGCCTGCTTTTGGCCAATCAGACGGGTCAATGTCCGGTTCCATATTCATTCCTCTTCTGTATTCTCGCTCCTCTCTTCTGTATTCAGAGCCAATGCATGCGTGCAATAGGGGGAAGAGCTGGCGCATGCACAACTCACACTGGCAAGACCAGCATAGCAGGAGCTAGCAGAGAGCTCAGGCACACACAGCTGAAGAAAGCTGATACAATGTGGCACATGCACCAGCTTTCTGCTAGTCTTCAAAACTGAAAGAATTTCACCTATGTCTGGGCCAGCTCAGAACTTTTGGAGATTGTTTTCTCCGAACGAGTCCGAAAGCTCTGAGGCAGGCTGGGTAAATTACCTTGGTGAGCTTTATCTGGCCCACGGGCTGTAGTTTGAGGACCCCTGTCATAGTCATACTAAGGAAGCTATTATGAATGCCCTCCTAAAAATATACTTGCTTGCTTCTTTCAATTTCAATTACTTTGCCCATTTCTAATCTGCATTTCTGAGTAACATACTCAACCGCATGATGAAACAGATTCAGGTTTTCTAGGATGCCACCAATTATCTGCATCTTTCTAATCTGGTTTCCAACCAATTTGGGAAGGAAGCTGTCAGCTCTTTTACAGATGTGCTACACTTGAAGATGGACTGGGTAAACGTGACCTATTTGGATAGTTTTCAATATCATTAAATTTTGTATCATTGTGGTTGCTGTGATAGGCCTAGGAAGCACTGCTCTACAGTGGGTTCTAGTCCTCTAGTCCCAGGTAATGCTGGTTTACTATATAGCAATGTTTTACCCAAGGTTTTTGGCTTATGCAGTACCACAGGGTTCCATCTTGTCCCCCATGCTGTTTAATATTTACATGAAACATCCGGGTGAGGACATCTGGTGTTATCTCTACCCTAATGTTATCTAGCTCTACCTCTCATTTCCATTGTCCAATCCCAGGTAGATGGTACAAGGTCTACACTGGGCTGCAGAGCAAGTTCTGAATTAGATAGAGGAGTTAAAACAAAACAAAATGAAATTGAATCTAGATAAAATGGAGAAACCACTGGCTGGAGGATCTGACAATACTGAGAGAGATATGCAGCCTCTTCTGGTGCATTCCCACTGAAGCAGCAAGCTCACTGCTTGGGCACTCTTGGATCCAGCTCTTGTCCTGAACGTACAAGTGGGAATGGTGGCCAGGATATGCCAGCTGCGCCCTTGCCTGGAGAAATCATAATGGGTAATTCAGTTTTCTCTAAATTAGATTTGTATAATGTGCTCTATATAGAGCTGACCTTGAAGATGATCCAGAAACTTCAGTTGGCCCAAATTACAGTCAGCAGCACTTCAGCAGGTGCTAGGAGATCAGAGATCATCACTCTGATAGTTTGCTAACTATGCTAAGCAGTCCAGTCCAAACTATGAGTCACCCACACCTTTTTCTTAGAAACCTTCCACGATGGAGAGCTATGCTTCCTTTGCCATCTGAGATACAGTGAGTGGACCTCAAGTATAGTTCCCAGATTTAAGAACAGCTTGTTGGGCAAGTGAAGCTTACCCACCCCCCACCCATCCTGCCTTTTGGCAAGTGGTGAAGACAGTTTTTCTAAATCATTCTCATTCACTCAGCTTTTTGTTTTAAATACTTTTACTGTTTTATGGTTGAAGTTTTAGTTTGAGCTAAAATTTAGTGTTTTAGTACAAAAAGGTAGAAAAATATTTAAACATGAAAAACCAATTCTGTGCTTTTGCTTGTTACAGCATACGGTTTATAGAAATAGCCTGTGCCATTTGACACACATTTCCAGTGACTGCGTTTCAAGAAACTTTTTAAATAAATACCTCAAAAAGTTAATAGTCTTCAGAACAGTTTCCTGACAATACATAGCTTGAAGGAACCCATTTTTCATACATAAATAGAGGTACTGTTGGTTGGGATATATGGCAATGTTGAAGAAAGGTGAAACTTCTTTAGGATAACTCCAGCCATAAGAGGTCACTTCCTGGCTTGTTTTCTAAACGTTTACCAATTAATTTGGAAATATATTTTAAAGTTTAAGCTGATGATCTAGGCCTTTTTATATAAGTGGAAAATGGTGCTTACCAGTTCTAACAACTAGCTGAAGCTTATAGGAATGAATCACATGCCATTTTCACTGCACTGAGTAATACCTGCACATGACCCAGTTTGCAAGTAATGAGAATCATTGGGTTGTTTAATCTTAAGGCTGTCAAGGGAGAGCACTGCCCACCTACTTGCTGCTTTGCATCTGGTTTAGCAAATAGCACAGGAATTTCCTGTTCCTGGATGTTTGTTCCATCACATGAACCCAAAACTCTGCTGATAGAAAGGCAACGTAAAGCATCAAAAAAAAAAAAATGCTGTTTTGAAGCTGTGCGTTGTTTCTTCCTCAACAACATAAGAGTTCCAATTTCAGGTGTCATATTGAACAACCCAGGAATGAGGGGCCTTTGGGTGGTCTGTACAACTAGATGCAAAGCAGACGCAATGGGCAGGAAGCATCATGCCCACCTATGGATGGTAGTTACAAGCAAGCCAGGTCAATACAGGAAACAGTAAAACTTTTCATTGGCATTCTGTAGTCCACATTCCAGTAAGTAAGCTAGATAACAGACAAACTGTTTGGAGATAGATGTACTTGTCAGAGACATTTCATTGAGGTAACTAGTACTCTTCCAATACCACCACTATATGGAAACAAAGACTCACAGGGAAAACATCAAACTAGATGTAGCAGGTGTTCCCCTCATCAACATCCAATAGCAGCCAACAGTGAAACACTGCAAGCTTCTCAGTATACCAAAACATAGTCAAAGCCGTGTCCTTTAGCTTACACTAACACACCACACTTCATTTCCAATGATACACTTTTCAGGATGTCTAACTAATCTTTCTCCCACTTCAGATTCCTACAACTAATTAAACCTATCATTATTTAATGGTGTTCTTAACTTCAGAGGACTATGGAGTACATTTCATTTGAATTTTTGACAGCAGTCCTTTGTTTCTGTTGCTCCTTCTTCTCTGCACTGAACACAACCAATTCCTCCAAGATGTCTAAGACTTATATTTTAATCCTTGTATGTTCTTTTCATAATCTAACATGTATTTATCTTGTTTGAATTAAACAATGTTTTGCGCCATTAATTCTATTCAAATTGAGTTACAAAAGGAATCTTTATAACTTAGATAAAACCATTCTGCAGAGATTCAAAACTAAAGACAGTGTAAATTATTTTAAAGTGTTATTAATGTTTCAAGCATGAATTCTAAACCAACTAAAAGAGCTAAATACAAAGTTTATTAGAAGTCAGTTTTTTAAGCTTGCCGGACATAGCTTATACATATTCTAAATTCAGAAGCTAAATGTTTCTATATTGTATATGTCTTACAATATAGAAACACAGCAAGCAACAATTAAATGACATGCACCAGTCATTATTAATTAGCAAACACACTCAATTATTTCTGCAATACAGCAGGTTTTGCTTTTTTATATTGTATAATCTTTAAGCAAGAATTTCAGTGCCAAACATCAAGAAAAAAATTATCTAAAGAATGGCCACATCCAATCTCAGACTGCAAACCAAAGAACCTGAAGATACATAAACACATCAACAGGTGCATGTTATGGGATAAATTTCTAACTGACAACATGACAAGAGTTTGGACCCCATTGCAGAAATAGTTACAATTCTTATATGGAGAGTTCTATACTATCATCAGCATCTCATGATTTGGAATTGGAGGGGCCCTTAACATATTAAACAATGTGCCTTTTAACAAGTGAAGTTACCTTTTGATATTTGTTCGGGAGTTTCTGTGGGACATGTAAGTGAGAGTTCTGTGCAAGAATATTGGCTGCAACAGAAGAGGAAAAAAGTCAATCCAACATCGCCATGAGAAGTTCTGTACAAGTAAAGGCAAAGATTAACAGTTACTCACAGCTATAAGATTGCGGGTACGTAGAAATCTATATATTTGTGTTGGTTCTGTGAGAAAAAAAATATAAGCATTCTTTTACAAAACAGCCGATTTGATTCATATCCAACAGTATCCCCACGTACAGTAGACTTTTTAATATATGGCAGCCTCCACTCATACCAAAAGTGCTTAGTACACAAATACCTTGTTCATAATGAGGTGAGTGGACACTTTCAAACAGTAAGCTAATAACTGTAATCTACAATGAAGTGACAGTGACCACATGGCATGCCAGCTGCCATTGTTAAATGGCACTATGCATCAGGGAGTAACTGCCCTTAGGATACAGCAGTAAACCCAGTAACTCAGATTTAAACATTTCCATAACCTAATTTGGTGTTAAATGCTTGAATAACAACCAAGGTTACCATTACGTCCTTGCACATCAAACAGTATTTAGTTTGTTAGCGAACAGCCTTAAGTATTTGTTTTATGAAACACGATATTTACATAGAACAGAATAACTCACAGTGAAGAAGATGGGGAGGAATGAATATCCAAACTGTCTGCTTTTGCAGGCTCAATTTACACACCTTTGAACTCTGCAAAGTTGATGGGGGCAAGCTAACCACAACTGAAAAAACCTGGTCAAATTTTCTAAAATCACTCTCTAAGAAACACACCAGTTGATATAAGCTTACATAGTCCTTCTACACTCCAGCCTCAAACAAGTGAGGTGTGTTAAGTTGAAACTGAGTGACCAGTTAGCTTGATAGCTGAAAGAAAACTAGAACCTAGATCTCTCAAGTCCCCAACCCAACGTTCTGCCTGCCACACCACACTGGCTCTCATACAGTTTCACTATTCACAACTTCATTTTACAAGAATTTTATTTTGTTATAAGTATCAAAAAAAAAAAAAAAACACCCACTGGAAGGACTATTACCCTGTTACTTTTCTGAACAGTTTAAGTTGCTAACAACTGAATGAAACTGCTGAAATGGAAGCTTTTACATTTAAAAGCCAGTTAACCCAATAAAACAAAGACAACTAGAACATTTTGCATGCATATGGCGATCTCACCATATATCAGACTTGGGCACATTCTTCAGCCGAATTAATGTGCCACAATTTTCCTTCACAAAATCTCTTGTTCTAAATTAGCTTTGTCCCTGCTTTTATTGTTTAAAAAGGGTGTACCTGTAATTCTCCCTAAGCAAGTAAGCACAATTAAGCACCATATCTGTCTTTTACATTTTCCAAACCTGGGACAACCTGTCTAACTCACTGTACCTCTTTTGATGAACCAAGCATATAAATTTAGGTTTTAAAAGCTTTGTTTTCTGAGACGAACAACATAAGTCATTACAAGCTTTTATTACTACCCTGCTTTCTGACGATTCTTTCATTTCCATCTCTGAAGGAGTCCTCAAGGGTAGAAAGAAGATACTCGAAACAACACGGTATCAACTTACAACCACCTCAGCACCCACTCTGGAGGCCCCCAAACGCAATCCTACTGAGGCGCGCAAATCTCGCTGCCCCTAAAAAACGCCGCGGTGGGCCTGTGTGGCACTGCTTCAGTGAGGAAACAATTAGCCAGGGAAGGATTTTCCTACGGGGATCACTCAGTCCAACAACACAGAGAAGCAACAGCTCTCTCTCCAGAGCCCCACTTCTCCCGCCCAAAAAACCCGAAGAAGCGTCACGTCGCGCGTACGGGAAGGTTAAGGCGGCTCCATCAATTAAGTGGCCGATGCTCTCTTCCTCTCCGCCCATCCCGCCTCAGCCCGTGACACCGGCGCGTGGGAGGTTGTTAGTTTCGGCCCCTCTTCCCTTCCCACCCAATTACCCCACGCTCACTCTCGAAGGCCTGAAGGAAGAGCTCGTGGTCGGCCTGGATCTGCTCCATCTTCGGTTTCTTCACCGGGGGTAGGGCCGCAGCCGAGGCGGCCGCCGCCGAAGACGCCGAGGAACCGCCGCCGCCGCCGCCGCCAGAATAACCGCTGCCACCGCCGCCGCCTCCAATAGCAGCACCAGTCTTGCCGCCTGGGGCAGCGGCGGAGGTAGAGCCGCCAAAACCCCCGCCAGCGCCTCCGCCCGTGGTGGTGGCCGCGACGGCGCCTCCCCCTCCGCTTGGAGCACCCGAGCTGGGCCCCGCGCCTCCACCACCGTGCTTCTGAGGAGCCATGAGGGCCTCTCCGCCGGGGCGGGAGCTTGACGGGAGATGGCGAGCGACAGCGAGCAGGGAAAGGAAAGGGGGACCAGAAGCAAGGTGAAATGAGGAGGAAGTGGAAGCGCTTCAACTCCTCAAAGTCCCCCCGCTCGGTTCTCCTCAAGCGCCCTCTCTGCCCAGCCAAACCCGACAGCGGCGGCGCCGCTCCCGCCCCCTCCACCGCACGCTCATTGGCTCCCACGATGGCGCCGTGCCGTTTCATTGGTCGTTGGAGATCCCGCCCAGTCGTGACGACAGAATGATTCTGCAAGAGTTTGGTTGGACCGCGCGTTTCACCGCTGGGAGCTTTCCTTTTCCCCTCCCCCTCCTTCCCTTTGAACTGAATTCGCGGGAAAGCAAAGCTGCTCCTTCCCCCTCCCCCCACGCCTGCGCCACCGCTGTGCATGATGGGAGAGGACTCGGCCGGCTCTTTTTCTAAGCGTCGACTCGCGCCGAATTCCTCAGCCAAGGAGAAAGAGACGGCGCGCGTGAGGTGGCTCCAACCTGCCAATCAGCCCGTGTGTTGTGGGCTGCCGCCGTTGTCTCTGAAGCCGCAGTTCGAGCGCGCGGAAAGGGGGAGGGTGTGGCGGCAGCGACGGAATCGCGCGACACTGAGGCTAGATCCACACGTGCTGCTGAATGAGGTGTGGGATGCCATCTTTGAACGTTCCCCTCCTACTCAAAATACTCGTGGCAGGTAGAAACGAAAGGGGGGGAGGGTGCAGGGAGGAACTGCAAGTTAGCCGTTTCCTGCGCGACTGATGTTCTAGTCTCGGGAGCATTCAAGGTTGTCACCTATTCATAGCTGGAATGATGCAATCCACCGTATCTTTTCTTCTGTTTGCGCATATGGACCATATCTAGAAGCAAATGAACGAGAAGCCGTAATCTCTGACCTGATCCTAACCTACCAGCCTGTGGCCTGGTACCTCAGACTATCAAACACTTCTAATACATAAATGCCTAGTATTGATACAGTGCTTTTCATAATAATAGAAAGTATTTCTTCAGTATCTCTTAAAAGTAAAAGATGGTGGTTTAGGCAACAGAACAGGCATGCATTCCTGAATTATTAGGGAATGAGGACACTTCCAGAGGGATGAATCGAAATTGAAAGGCATTATGCAGCTATCATATATATTCTTTCTCAGTTGATTTTTGGATGCTTCCATATAAGTGGATTCTTGAGAACACAAAGCTAAAGCTACCATAATAACCACTCAGAATACTTCCAGGCAAGGCTTCTGGAAGTATTTGCAGAATTTTACAGGGAGTCACCTTCTATTCGTAACTTCTGTGTTATCCCACTATTGCTTGTATCCTTTTTCTTACCACAAAAACATTTGTTAAGGAGGGAGAGGCAAAAAAGCCGCACAATTGTTTTTTGATTGGTACTGCGAGGAGTCCACTGCCTTGGAAACACTATATGTGTGGGGGGGGGGGGAGATGATTGAAGAAGTGGCAGACAATGCTACAGTGGAAGATGACAATATCTGATTCCTCCTGTAAAATTCCATGAATGAGCCATGTTGATTGGATAATAAAAGTTTCATCAGGAAACTCCTTTAGCTGTTATTGCAGTTGTACCTTTCCATTCTCAAGGCACTTTGCTTGTAGACTCGTTCTACTAAAGCAGCTTTCCACAACTCGCTATCCTCTGGATGTTTTGGCTTCAATTCCCATCACCCCCACCTGGCATAACCATTGGTCATGAATGCTCAGAGGGCTGTACTAAAGTGCTAAATGTCTTAGGCACTTGGGACCTGGTGAAATAGATATTCAAATTGTACACTGACGTTATGACTTTTCTTACTCTGTAATAAATACAAGTTCTCATACGGAATTGTTCTTCTGTGAGTAGTGAGTAAAAATGGTGAACTTAAAATTTGTAATGAACTATGTTCTGGCTTAGGTCATCTCAGAACATTTGCCTTTAAAATACTATCAAGTGCTGTGGAGCATCCCCACCCTGCAAACCTTACCTTGCTTGAAGCTTGGCATAGTCAAGACTATACTTAACAGAAGGCTTATCCTCTCTACAGTTCTTACTGTTTCTGGGGAGCTTTCTCAGATAAAAAGGAGGAAATATGTCTGAAAAGATCAAACCTATCAATTTTGATCATGAAACATGAATTTTAGACTTGGGCTCTTGGGGGTAAAATAATATTTTACTGATATAAACCCTAAATCACATTTCTATGCAACATCCCCTAACAATGGCCATTGTTTTCTTTTTGGTGGATTCTGCTTATTTTGTCAACCAAGTTGCTATTTATCTTTAAGAAAAATCAAAAGTCATGGCTTGTTGAGACTTGTTGCCAAACAAACCTGCCTAGGATAGTAGCCTATCTTGGACACAAGCATATCTTTTAGATATATTTGATGTAAACCATTAACAGGCATATTCCTGGACCAGTAAGGAGCTGTTGCAGGATCTAGGTAATCCTCTAAGAATGCGAGAGGAGCCATGCTGAATCAAATCGACAGTCCATCTGATCCAGGATTCTGTTCAAACCAGCTTGCCTGTGAAGAACCCTAAAGTAGGACATAAATACAATAGTACCTTCTCACTCATGTCCTCCCAGGGCTTGGTTTACTGGGGAAGAGTATACTTAGGCATATTGTCTCTGCTATTGGAAGTAGCATATAACTGTCATGATTATTAATAGACATTGATAGCCTCTCTCAAACAATCACAGAGTTCATCTAGACTGGGTAAACCAACATGGATAAGTCTAGTAATACAGCTTACCCTGGAAGCCAATTTGAGTTTACGTTCTGTGACTTTTATTCAAAAATTGCCATTTTATCTGGCCTAATTACATAATGTTTAGAGTGCAATCCTATGACTTCTAGATGCTATCTAGACAGCCATAGGAAAGGTCAGAGTTCCATCGCTGACTTCCAAAATGTTCCAAGGCTGGAGCTGAAACTCTGAACTTGGGCCACAGCATCCAGCACATCTCTGAGACTGCAAGAACAAACTTGGAGCCAGCATTGTTGCTGTGTGCCATCAAGTCATCTCCATCCTACACAGCAACCCAACAAATTAAATCTCTCCAAAATGTCCTGTTCATGACAGCCCTGCTTAGCTCTTACGAATTCCAGGCTATGGCTTTCTTTATGGAAACAATGCACCCCATATTTTGTCTCCCTTTTCTACTTTTTCCTTCAACTTTCCCTAACATGGAAAGTTTTGCCTACTCATGGTGTGCCCAAACTATGAAAGTTTTGTTTTGTCATTTTTGCTTCCAGGGAATGCTCTGGCTTGATTTGATCTAGGACCCACTTGATTGCCTTTCTTTCAGTCCAAGGTATTTGAAAAGCTCTCTTCTAGCACTATGTTTCAAATGTTTCAATTTTCCCTCTGTCAGCTTTCTTTACCGTCTAGCTTTCACACATGTACATTGTGATTGGGAATACAATAGTGTGGATGAACTTGGCCTTGGTCTCCAGTGAAACATCCTCACATTTGATGATCTTTTCTAGTTCCTTCATCTTTTCTAGCTCCCTTCCAGATCTCAGTTGACTTCAAATTTCTTGGCTGCAGTCTCCATTTGAATTGATGACTGAAGTATTTCCAATTTCAATTTCTTTGTTGTTAACAGTAAATGTTAAGCATGGTTGGAGATGTGCAGAGATTATCTTTGTATTACTCCTTCTGTCATTGATAGGATGCCTATAATTCTATGAGCTTGGCTTTGCACACATCCCAGCTGGATTGTACCAAGTACATATTGCTAGCTACGAAATACATACATCTTAGTGCTAAGCTACTAAACCATAGGTATTCTCAGATGTTGGGACAGAACTAGAGATGGGAAGGCCTGGGGGTGGGGGAGGGAACAAATTGGAAAACTAGTTTTCTAGGATCATTTTTGGTCTCTCCCACTCGCAATTGAACAAGTTTGGGTTATGAAATACTTTATTTTAGAATTTAGGACAAGGTGTATGTATTTGTTACCCAGCCTTTCCTTCCTTCCTTCCTTCCTTCCTTCCTTCCTCCCTCCCTCCCTCCCTCCCTCCCTCCCTCTCTCTCTCTCTCTCTCTCTCTCTCTCTCTCTGCTTTACATCCCACCTTTAAAAAAACAAAAAGCAGCTTACATCATTCTCTTCCTCCTGCTCTCAGTCTTATCCCCACAGCAACAACTCTGTGAGGTGAGTTGGGCTGAGTCTGTGATTGACCCAAAGTCACCCAGAGAGGGGACTGGAACCTAGATCACCTGGGGCACGTTTATCCACTGCACCACACTGGCACTTTTTGCAAAAGATACCTTAAAAGCATGTGGTAAGAAGGCTTTTATAGAAAAACTCAAGATATAAAATATCTGGAAATAATGAAACTATGAAGGAGGAAAGTTTGTTCTATCTTTTCTGTAGGATTCTTAGTATGGTTATTTTCTCCTTATTAAAATTATTGACCTAATGTATATTTTACTGTTAGACAATTAAGGAGGTTCCAGATCATGCTCCATTTCCCAACATATGAGTAGGGTTATGGTATCATGGAATAAAATGTTCATTCTTGACTGGATTTTGTTCTACAAAATCCTGTGCTTTGTAGTTCTGGGGCTCTACTTAGGGGCTGTGGCAGTCAATTAATGTAATGTTTTTTTATTTTCCCAATATTTTAATAATTAACTGGTTTTATCCTTGTTTTTATTACTATTTCAGATGCAGTGTAGTTTTTTCTTTTTCCCTCCCTTTTCCCTTTTTTGTAAAAGATGTGTGCTGTTGTTATGGGTTCTGTTTTTTGTTTGTTTGTTTGCTCTCTGTAAGCCACCCAGAGACTTTTTTAGTAATGGGATGGCATACAAAAACCATAAATAAATAAATCTAAAATCCTTGTATGTTATCCCATCACTTTTACCAGATGTGATGAAACAGCACATGCGATGCCTTAAAATAAAACTTTGGGGCTTGTTCTATAAAACTGAGTGCCATAGTTTTAAATAACCTGTATTAGACCTCAGTACTAGGGAATGGCACCTGATCTGTGGAATCTTCTACCTACTGCTACTAGGATAAATGCTTTATCTAAAAGCATCTCAGCTTGGTTTCAAGCACCACCACTAGAGACAATCTTTCAAAATCATTGTCAACAACAGAATAATGTTTATTAACACAAATTAAGCATTAATAAACTACCAT